ATGGGTAGAGTCAGCAATATACGGCTATAAACAGTCAAGCAGAAAACAGCACCACTGACAGCCGCCATATCAGACAAACACACCTGCTAGTGAAAAATCAAGTGCATTCTTCTAAAGCATAAAATCAAAGCTGCGTCACAAACAACTCAATGCCCTCAAATGACAATTCCTGCAGTAAAAGTATAACTTTGTGAGGAAAACATGTCCAAAGTGTTTTGTTTGCACTAAATTCGTTTTAGTTACCTGGATCCAGATAAAAACAAAAAACCCTACAGTGAAGGCTGCGTAAAAAGCAATGATGACACACGCTGCATGTGAATTGCAACACAATGTAAAAACTATCTGGTCTGAACATTAAATCAATTCAAACTACGATTACATATATTTTGTGGGACTATCACTTATCACTCAAAGCCAATTTTTAAACATTCTCATCTTATAATGTTCTCTCCGTATAATGCAGCTTCACTGCAGGCATGGCAGTACAGCAATCAAATTCTGTTCAAAAATATAATGACTATATGTGACCCTGAACCACAAAAGCAGTCTTAAGTCGCTGGGGTATATTTGTAGCAATAGCCAACAATACATTGTATGGGTCAAAATTATCCATTTTTATTTTATGCCAAAAATCATTAGGATATTAAGTAAAGATCATGTTCCATTAAGATATTTTGTAAATTTCCTACCGTAAATATATCAAAACTTAATTTTTGATTAGTAATATGCATTGCTAAGAACTTCATTTGGACAACTTTAAAGATGATTTTCTTCAGATGGTGTATAAATCTCAATTTCGAAAAATTGACCCTTATGACTGGTTTTGTGCTCCAGGGTCACATATAGTGACGTGACTATTTTTCTATTCTTTTAATGAACCTCACGGTTCCCAATCTTCTTGACCAATGAATTTCAATGACTTTTCCTTTCATGCTTCACTACTGGACAATGACTTTAAACATTTTGTAGAGATTGGACTCGTGAAGAGGAATATTTAGCCAATCGTGCGCCTTCACACTAGAGTTTACAGTACGTTAAATACAGGTGCGCTGCACATCCATTCAGATAAACTGAAAAACAGCACAGATCGCTTGGCGGAGAGTGAAACTCTGATGCGCTCAGTCAGAGAGTGTTCGGCGAGAGAAAATATATCTGAGCTAAACTTATACTTAGCCTCCAACTCACACTGGCGAGTAAAATCTGAGAATTTATTAGCAATTGGCTAATATTAGACATCATTTAGTCGCCCAGAGTAAGATTTAGTCATATATGCGAGTGATTTACTCGCAATGTAGAGGGTTGTAACATTTTACAGGTTTAATAGGCCAAAGTAAATGGCCTAGAAATGCCAATTTATGCCATGTATGGCAAAGGCTATAACACAGTTGCTGATAATACTCACACAGATGACAAAAACATCACAGTTGGGAAGAAAACACAGACCTCTGGAAAAGCAAACCAGCAGGAGGAAGACAGACAATCAAACTTTAAATTACGCACAACCGAAAGTGTTAAAATGCTCCATGTTATAAATATAAAACCGCATCAACAACTAGGCCCAACATTTCCACTAGTTTTTCCTGCAATGCTCCTGTGCATCCTAAAAAAAGACACTTGTCATCACAATAGTGATCTAATCTAAAACAAGCCACTGGCAAATTCTAAGCCTTTTCTTCTACTGCAGACGCCTAGAGTTGTCATGTGACTTCAGGCCACTTGTGGAAGCCTTGATTCCTGAGCCAGACACAACACACTTGGAGAACCTTGGTTGCACGTAACGACTTCAACATCTAGTTCCCGAATCAAACCACAGACATGAACAGCCAGAAACCGAGCTCAAATTTAGCATGGCATCATTCTGACAGCCAACACCCTGCAGTGCACATCATGGATGTGACCCATATCAGATATGATAGGAGGGGTGGGTGGGTGTGAATGCGTGTGTGTTTAGCCTCTGGGGAGCATAAGGCAGAGCTGCTATTTATCAGGTTACAAAAAAGTGGGTGTGTATTGTGCTGCTCTTTCCGCCTGTATGTCTGCAGTTCAGCCTCTCTCTCTCTCTCTCTTCATCCCTCGCTCCATCTTGTGCAGGATGGTATGGTATGTGTGGCTCTTTTCTTCCACCACTACACACTCTCTCTGTCTCTCCCCAACAACAGCGGCACATCTTGCAGCTGGCAGCCTCGGCGGCAGGGAGCAAAACTCACGTGACCGCTCATTCTTGACCATCTCTGCCATGTTTTTGTGAGTTTGTACGAAATGGCATGAGGCAATACCGTTTATATCGATATACAGTAGTTTGATACGAGCGCTTCTGAATAATAGCAGAGAACACGGTGTGAGCATGAGACATGCTTTATATTAAGGGCTTTAAAATTACTCGTAAGATATAGTTAACACTAGGGATGCATCGATCGGATACTCAGTAACTTTTATTTGTTCCCCACTAAATAATGTTTTTTCACTAAATGTTTAGTTTAATTTGTTTTTATAAAATGATTGTGCACCCATGATTTTACTAGAATAACTTTTGCTGCTGAATTATACACTAACCTAGTTTATAGTAGTATTTTTTGCCATAGATTGTGATTATATATTTTTTCATTTGTTATTTTTCATTAAAATGAAGTAGTCTATATTTAGCAGATTGTATTTAACACACACAAGAGTGATGATCACAGAAGTATAGAAATTCTACATTGATTTAAAAAAACTGCGCTGGTATCGGATCGGAATCTTGCAGATACTATCGGATCGGTTCTGAAAAAATGGTACCGTTGCATCCCTAGTTAACACGTAGGCTATAGTTTAAAGCGGCTCGGGATGTCAGATGCTCTGACAGACTCATGTGCCACTGACAGAGACGCTGCTGGTTCGGTTTAATGCATTTGAGATGTGCTGTTTTCCTCAGTGCATAACTTACATTTCACAGGTATATTCTCCATCTGTACATTTTAGAAAGTCATGGAAATATTTCCATTTTGCTGTCAGAAGTGCATGAGCCTTCTTCATGCGATTCTCTGCTAAACTTCACAGACTTAAGGGAACAAGCAGCGCAGTGCGCATGCGCGCCAAACAGACAGAGCTCAATAGAATAAGAACACAATAATTCTGTCATATGTAGAATTTTAAACTTATGATAAGTGTATTTTATGATGGCAGACAGCAGTAATGGGGTAATCGAAATATAATGCAATTAATCTGTGCTCTTGAGATTTTTTTACTTTAATTTTTAGTTTAGTGAATTGAACTTCTGCTTTAAAAAGCATTATTTTTGTTTTTAGATTGTAATGTTAGAATGTTATGTGATTTTAACCCCTTCTTTGCACATAATGGACAGCATAGTTTTCATTGCCTTTTATATTAACATTGTTTTATTGGACAACATTTGGCAGGATGTTTAAATAAGTAAATAAATAAATATTTTTAATCCAAATAGAAAATGTAGAAAATACCAAGATATATATATATCATATATCGCATATATCGCCCAGCCCTACATTTCAGACTGTCAACTGTAGTACTCTGAGACTCAGAACATGAAACCTTGTAAATCTATAGACGCAAACAGCGATGATGTTTTTTGGTGGCAGAAAATGACAGTTTTCAAGTAGCAGTCTATGGAAGCCATGGAATACAAGAATAAGAAAAGGTAAATTTGAGTTTATATTTCGAAATTCTGATTTTATTCTCACAATTCCGAGATTATATCTCAAAATTCTGATAAAGAAAAACAATTCGTCATTCTCTCTTTTCCCCTTGGCTCAGAATCATGAGTTTATAATCCCACACTTCTGGCTTTTTTTCCTCAGAATTGACAAACTCGCTACTGTTGAGTTAAACGGAGTTATAAAGTCCGAACTAGGAGACAAACTTGCATTTGTGAGAAAAAGTCAGATTTGTAAGAAAATAGGTAAATGTTATGTAAAATGTTTATAGTAATAGGTTTAAAATAGTATTCCATGCTGTAACTGTAGGGCTAATACAATATGTGACCCTGGAGCACAAAACCAGTCTTAAGTGTAAATTTTTCAAAATTGAGATTTATACATCATCTGAAAGCTGAATAAATAAGCTTTCCATTGATGTATGGTTTGTTAGGATCGGACAATATTTGAAAATCTGGAATCTGAGGGTGCAAAAAAATCTAAATATTGAGAAAATCTCCTTTAAAGTTGTCCAAATGAAGTTCTTAGCAATGCATATCATTAATCAAAAATTAAGTTTTGATATATTTACGGTAGGAAATTTACTAAATATCTTCATGGAACATGATCTTTACTTAATATCCTAATGATTTTTGTCATAAAAGAAAAATCTATAATTTTGACCCATACAATGTATTGTTGGCTATTGCTACAAATATACCCCAGCGACTTAAGACTGCTTTTGTGGTTCAGGGACACATATGTCCCCTATGAACTGCATATGTGAATATTATGTAGACTTATTGTTTAAATCAAATTTATGCTTTAAAAGTAGAGTAACCATAGCAGTTTTCATCCATAGTCTGTCCGTTTAAACGTCTGCGTTTAGCTTCAAGTGGCGTCTTTGATGACAGTATTCTACAAAAAATGATTTTCATTCCAATTCTGACATCCAAAGGCACAAAAAATATTTTGTTTTCTTATTCCACGGATTTTACCCGTTTCCCTCCACTTGTTCCCAGTGTTTTTCTGCCACCACAATGCACGCGCAGCTGCAAGTGACGTAACGGTGACGTCTACACCAAATCGGTCTATATTAGGAAGTCATCTGAACATGTTAAGGCCTAAAAGTCAATTTCAGAAATTTAACATGCACTTTGACTTGCTTTCAATTATTTCTGGACGTCTTAGCGAGTCTCAGAAAGCTGTTTGCTTACTCAAATCATGTCACAGCTGAGAGCCGCTATTCGAAACAGAAGTGAAAATGTAAATACTGGTCATCAGACAGGGAAACCGAAAATGTGCTTTGCACAAAACTTCCACCAAACAATGGAAACAGCTTCATCGACTCACCCGATCTTGTTCATGAGGCAGCAGACGAACCGGAGGCAGAGAATCCAGAGAAACGCAGCCCGTCCCGTCGTTATGAGAACTCCTGCTTACCAACCGGAAGAGCGGCCCTTGTTTTACCACCCGTCCGCGAGAAGCGGCCCGCTTCAGAGACAGTCGGAGATGCTGGTGGAAAAGGCCCGGCCCCATAGAGCCGCTGCCAGACAGATAACCTGCAACATCTGCCTGGCACTTCAGAAAGCGTTCGATGCTCTTCAGGGATGATCCGCCGGGTTCGTGAAGCCCCTCTAGAGAGCGCTTGATGAGCTTGTTCCAGTCCAAACCAGGTTTTTTACTCGAGCTGGAGGTGCTGGAACTGCCTCCCGCCCGAGGTTTTGTGAACCCCAAGCGTCCAGGGTTATCGGGGTCCTTGTAGGAGTTGAGCCCCTTATTGGACACCTTGAGTACGGAGCCATCTTTAACGCTGAGCTCAAGGTGCTCCAGGACCGTCTTGCGGTCAAGCCCATGGGACATTGACACAGCATTGCAGATACGCTCTTCGGACGGGCGCTGCTTTTGCTTTTTTACCTTCTTGATGGCTTCCAAGATCCAGGTGGTGTACAACGGGTTGGCCAGCTTCACCATGGCTGCTGTAACACTGCTGGGCCAAGGCCCAACACACTCTCACAACCGTTAGGAAGCACCCAGTGGCCTCAGCCCTGGCGCTGCCTCGTCGTTGTCCTCCTCCTCCTCTCTCTTCGTCCAGGAGGCTATGCTTTGTCCCGGGGAGGTGTAGTAAGTCTCTCTGTGCCTGAGCAGGAGTTGTTAGAGAGGGAGCCGATCACCATAGCATAGGCTCCCAAAATCCCCCCGCCCCCCCCACCCTAGAACAGATCCCTCTAACCCAGTGACCCTTCCTTCTGAAGGGCTGCCACACCAAAGCAAAGAATGCAACAGACAGCAACTACTCCAAGAGAAAGTAGAGTTGCAAGAGCCTTGGGTGTCGTCTTATCCGCCCGTCTCAAAGCAGTCAGTCTGGTAGAATCCTCGATCCTGACGGTTAGTGTTATCCGTTTAGATGGAGCATCTTTGTAAAGAATTGTAGCAGCACTTTTGTAGTAAGGAAATGCAAGTGTGAAAGTACTGCCTGTCTTGAACCTCCTAGCGCAGCTGGAACAAGCGGTCCAGAACAGATCCCTTACTCCAGAAAGCAACGCAGGCTGACCATCATCCTACAGAGTAGTATTCTTCAGAAGCTCCTGCAACCTGCACGAAAAACATGAAAGGATCAGACTCTGGAAAACACACAGAACACATTGCAACAACAACATTTTTGAACACTCATCTATATTAATCATCTAGCCCATAGAAATGGCAGTTCTACAGAAACACACAGGCCTCGCTAAAGAAGGGCAACGAATCTACGTGCATCTACTGCACAGTGACAGCGAACTACAACTCCACACTACACTTCAAAAATTATATTAGGAGTCTTTTACTACGCGCTTAATTCTTATTGTACTGCAAAACACTTTTACTGGTATTGAGGTGGGATACGGTTAAGGTTAGGTACAGGTTACGTGGGATTGTTAGGTTTAAAGGTGGGTCAACTGTAGCTGTAGATATAATTTCAGAAATTAATTCAAGTACAATATTAAAACATTGCATGTTCACTATACATGCATCAACTGATGCACAGTTGATTTGACGCTCTGCATTCAAATACAGTTTAAACAAGTTAAAGCCATTATCAGCAGCAACACATTTTATTTTACTCTCCTTGTATTTGTGTAATTTGATATTATTACTATAGCAAACTTGAAACCAAACATAAGCCTAACACCGTAGTTAATTAATATAAATCAGTACATGTGTAATTACACTGTAACAAGAACACTAAAATAAAGTGCAACCCAATAAACCAAACGTGCAACAGAGTAAAAACACTAAAATACACTATTTCCAGTGAAGGCACACAAAAGGGTTATATCAGAAATACGTCTAAAGCTCACAGTGCCTGAAACAAAGTGATATGAATGGGATGAAACCGAATCAGTGGTTCTTTTATGTACACAACAATCTAAATGCAACTAAAGTTCAGCGATTTCACAACACTGTGACAAGTGGCCACCTGTAAATTATCTTTAAATTAGGTGCTAATCACATGTCAAGCTCCAGAAAGGAAAGCACGAAATGTCAACACATGGCTAATAGTAAACAACACAGCAACGGGGCTTTAACGTTGAAAACAAATGTAAACAGTATTAGACACAGCAGCTTAATAGTGGCTAAACACGAGAAAACATACTTTAGTGTCGATTATTTAAGCATATTTTTCCATTCCAAACGATGTAAACTTTTGAGTAACGTTAGCGAAGCTAGTGCACTAGGCGGATGTTGTTAGCTTCAAAACACAACAAGCAACGTGCAGCTGAGAATAAGGACAACGTTCCCTCCAACGAGATTTCACACCATAACGGTGAAAGTAAACGGCTTTTTCTGGACCTTTCCATTCTTATTGTCCGTTAAGAAACCCCGCGTCCTAACGGAGCACGGTTAGCGCGTGCCTCAGCCGTTAAAAAAAGATCGTTAAGATTCCTTCCTTCCCTCGCTTTGCCTCGAAGAAGCGCTTGATAAAAATAAAAAAAACCCTCACGCTTCTCCACTTCCTTCCCCGCTTACTGTAAACCAAGTCTGCGGTGGCGGAGGAGACGAGGCCCGTGAGGGGAGGAGACGAGGCCCGTGAGGGGAGGAGACGAGGCCCGTGAGGGAAGTAGCTAGGCCTCGGTTAACGTTAGCTTCTCCCCACCCTCCCCCTTCATCTCCGCGTAACATTCCCCCGCTTTCCCTTCTCCCGCTTCTTCCCTGAAAGACAGAACCGGACTCGCTAACCGAGAGCACTTAAATCGCTACACGTGGTACTCACCGGGATTTTGGATCGAGTGGACGCGGGGAAGGTGCCAGAACGCGTTCGAAACACAGACAACAACAAGCCCAAAAATGCAGCCACAGAGCAGTGGCTCCAGAGCCGACGCCATCTTTGAGTGAAACAGGAGCTGTGCGCGGGGGGAGGGGGGACCGTCGGCGCTTAGGGAGCGTCTGCAAAGTGCGAATCCGATGGGATAAGAAAGGGACTGCAGCGGGAGGAGAGAAGAAAG